CTGGTTAAACCAGTGAACATCATAAATCATTTCAGAAAGTAACAAGGCAGTAATGACTAGGAGATTGACTCTGAAATAAGCTAAATCCGTTCAATATAGTTTGAAATCTAAGGAATGATTGTTTATTTTTTTGAGATTGTAAAAAAGGAAGTACTATTATGCCTTCTTTTTTAGTTGTTAATACTGACCATGAAAAAATCATCATCATCCCCATCATGAATAGATCAAAAAATCAGCTGATTACAGGTGAGAAATCCATGTTGAGAGTTTAATAATACACGGTATTCAGAAAGATAAGCATGTTACCTTTTTGTAATTTCTCAAGTGTTTTTACTAAACCTATAAACTATAATAATCATGGTCATGTGTATGGATACCCTCATTATTGTTCATCACTTGATATTGGTACAAGTAACAATGATACAAAGTGAGAAAAACGTTTTCTTACACTTTTTTTGTCAGCTGGATAAATGAATGTAAGTATAGTGAGAGCACGAGATAACTATGATGGATTAGTTTCACAGATCATATATCACAATCTCCATAAAACCCTTTCTGATAATAATCATATGCTTACTAGTGACTGGCTTCAAAAGTTATTTCCTGAAGTTCTACTGAGAAGCAATGACCAGTGGAGTTCAATTAGGGTCTGTTGTGAGATAGTAACCCAATGAAGATAATGAGGGATGGTGGCTCAATTTCGTGGATTGGTTGAAGTTAGACATTAACACCATTGGATGCCTGCTCAGTGGTTTAGAGGGTAAGCGTTCGAGCACGAGATCGATATTTCCTGGGTTCGAATCCTGGGAGTAGGATCGTGGATGCGCACTGTTGAGAAGTCCCATACTAGGACGAAACCACCGTCCAGTGCTTCCAGGTTTTCTATAATGTTCTAGCTGAAATCGATAGGAAATTCAACTAAAACTTTGACAAACACTTAACGACAGCAATACAATCTATATGTAATCCAAATTCAAATGTAAAGATTAACCTAAACAAAGACAAGCGTCATGTGAACTAATGCTATTCATGTAAATACTGTCATCATCTATTTAGATACGACTTTATTTCTACCATAGTTATTTATAGTTAGACGATTGAACATATGTTTTAATAAACTGATAAATTTGACTACTTTAAAAGTTGAAGTATATCAAAGTACGATTCCAGACGTTTTATTAGGACGCAGTAGTCTAAAGACTGGAGCTTCGTTTTATGGTTTAACCTATCCGAAACGTCATTCTCTTGAATATTGAATAGCGGAGCTCCTCCTAAGTGTATTTGGATGGAGATTAAATGTATTTGTTCAGTTGAGACAGATTTTAAAACTTGTTATGTGAAGTCGACTAAAATTTTTTACGATAACCTTGAGGATAACAACCATTTGGTCTAAACCTACAAAAACGCAGTCCAATAGCGAATTATACGATAGATTGATTTAGTCTGTGGAGAACTACCGAAGCCATTATCCAGAAGATACAAGTGTTTATTAACAGTTGTCTAAGCAAGACACTTAGGATTCGATGGCCAGACACTGTCAGCAACAAGTTACTGTGGGAGACAACAAACCAGATTCCATCCAGCGGAGGAAGAAATCAGAAAGAAGCGCTGGAAGTGGAAACGACACACTTTGAGGAAATCACCCAAATGCGTCAAAGACAACCCCTCACAAGGAATCCTAAAGGTCAAAGGAGAAGAGGAAGACCAAAGAACACATTACGCTGAGAAATGGAGACAGACATGAGAAGAATGAACTAAAAATTGGATAGAAATAAAAAAAGACCCAGGACATAATAGGTTGGCGAATGCTAGTCGGCGGCCTATGCTCCATTGGGAGTAACAGACGTAAGTGAAAAAGTAAAAAAAGCCAGCCTCTTCTAATCCACTCTTGCACAAGACAATATCAAGCATCAAGGGAAGAGTTAAGATATTGAGTGTTATGTATTGAAGACGGAATTCGAAAATTATCTATTCAATCACAGTATTTATCACTACTTGATAATCCATTGTCACGGTCCCATCATCAAGGAAATAATCCATGACCTTTACATTCTACAGTTCAGCTTATCTCAAACGTTGGTAAAAGAGAAACTTTCAGGGTTAAACTATTTTCATCAGTCTACTCAATCAAATAACTATAGATTCATAATTGTTTATACAAAAATGTTAGTACAATTTTTTTTAATTATACAATATGAACAGCTGTTTATAGGGATGAAACAAACTGGTTAAACTGCCAATTATGATTCGGTCAATAGTACTATATATTTAAAAAACAATACCTTATAACTTTCTAATCACCAACCAACAAAAGGGGATTCTCATTCACAATACTACTACTACTACTACTACTACTACTAACAATAATAATAATAATAATAATAATAATAATAATAATAATAGGTAACTATGCATCCTGGAAACTTTTCTCCATCCATCAAATGTATATATATATATTAAACTAAATACTTCAATCAGATTTTTTTTATTCAAAGTGAACATGGCGTCAGTATGACCTAAACTATTAATGAATATTGATTGATGAATTGTTAAAGTGTTTCAATTCATTTGGTATTGTTTGATTGAATCTTCCGATTCATGTTTAGGACTGCAATTGATCAATCTCATATTGGCATATGTGCATACTGTGCGTATTACCTCGATATTGCCATAATTCACAAGCATTATAAACAAGGATGGATGGTGGCTGGCAGTGGAATCCAGTTTGACTCGCGTTTCGTCCTATTTGGAACTCGTTAGCTGAATGTACCTTATTTAAGAGACTGATCAGTTGCAGTCCCAAAACATCAATGGGGAGATTCAAACAAACAATACCAAGTGAATTTAAACTTCACCCCATTGCACAAGCAAATGGCTATCAAGACTCAGTGGCCAAGTGGATAACACGATGGCGTTTGAAATGAAAGGTACTGGTTTCGAGTCCCAGAGTGAACATCAACTCTGAGATGTTGGTACATCCAGATGATGAGTCCCAAATGGGATGAAACGCGCGTCCTGGATTAAACAGATAGCTACTATCCGTCTTTGCTTATAATGTTAAAATGTTTATTATTTTAACTTTTATTATTCTAATGATAAGTATTGTTAAAGTGATAATCTAGATGATGGATAATAAGTACAAACATTTTGGTTCTTAATTCCAATAGTTAAGATCATGAGTCAATTGAATCCCCCAAATGCCTTGGTACGGCCGAGATTAGGGAGAGTCTGCTCTCCCTCTCGAAATGCTCTCATATGGTCACGCGAATATATAGCCTCTGTCAGGGAAGTCCTACTCACTGCCTTCTCGTGGCGGTGGTGTTGTTTACAAAAGTGAGAGGACGAAAAGCGAATGTCCGGCGCTTTAACCGGGTTGATGGACACAGAAGGTTCACCTAGGGGAGTTGGAAAAAGCGGATTCCAAACCAATGGTGTACATGGACTCCAGTATCCTGAGGGAACAAATGGTGTATGAATCAATCGTTGGTCATCGGCTACCATAGGACTGTATATCCTTACGATGCTCCATTGTGTTGTGAATCAAACCTTCAGGTCAAAGGCTCTGGATGTGGCCCCCTATGAAAACCATCTACTTCAGTTTATGCACCTGTGCAGTATCACAGCCCTCACATGAATGAAATAAGATTTGTGTGGCGCATATATATCTTGTGCCTCTTTGTACCAATATTTATGTATTTATAAATAAATAAATAAATATCGAATTTAATACTTTAAAATTCAAGGTCAACAAATCATTAAGCAAATATGACCCTCTCACAATGAATGGTATAAATGATGTCGATTGATATAAAACAGATGTAAATCATCTCCACCCTAGTTACTGTCAATTAACCTCACGTTCTTTTATTTAGGATAAATGATAACAATACAAATAAGTATAGGGGTTTCTTGTTGTATGTCACTTCCCACCCCTTATTTTCTTCTAATACCCTATGAACTAATTTAATAGTTTTTTTTTTCAAATAAAATCAATATTTACCATAGTAATCCATGAGACCACAACAACAAAAAGTATCATAAATCATGTATATGTTACAAAAAAAAATAAAACACCCCCCATAGATTTTGAACGTAAAGGGAAATAAAAATGCTGGTAAATTAATTTATAAAATAATTTAATAATTTCTTTTTAAGGGGGAAACCATTTTTTTTTTCTTTTTCTTTACGAAAATATAAATGAAGAAGGAAGGAAATATGATTGCAATCATGAGTCAATTAAAGCTAGACCACCATGATGGGCATTTCATCCTATTGTGGAACATATCTAGGCAACATCACTGATGAACAAAGTAGATGTTATGCAGATGTGAGGGCGAGGATTGGCAAAGCGAGAGTAGTATATTTACAATGGAAGAACATATGAAACTCAAAACAATTGTCTGTCAATCAACACCAAGATCAGAATTTTTAATACAAATTTCAAAACCGTTCTACTGTATTGGGCGGAAACTTGGAGAACTACGAAAGCTATCATCCAGAAGATGCAGGTGTTTTGATCAACAATTGTTCAGGCGAAATACTTCTGATTCGTTAGTCAGATACTACCAGCAACAAGTTACTGTGGGAGAGAACGAATCAGATTCCAGCGGAATATGAAATCAAGAAGAAGTTTTGTAATTCGATAGGACACATATTGAAGGACGCATCGTACTGCGTCACCTGAAAACCCCTAAATTGGAATCCTCGAGGTCAAAGGAGAGTAGGAAGACCAAAGAACACATTACTCCAAGAAATCCAGACAGATATGAGAAGAATGAATAAACGTTGGATAGAATTAGTAAAGAAGGCCTATTATAGAATGGGTTGGAGAATGCTGGTCAGCAACCAATGCTCCATTGGGTGTAACAGGCGTAAGTAAGTAAGTAATTACCCTGAAGTTTTCAACATAAAGTATTCATGATTTCAGTTTGTATGTTTACTGGAAAGATTATGTTAGCATTTTTTTTAAAATGAACTATAAAAAACCCCTCTTAACTTACTAAAATCTTTTTTCCTCCACTTTCTTTACTTAACGATGATGATTTACTATCTGAACTAAATAAAGTTGGCATATATGGTAATGTAATATCATGATCAATTAAATATTCAATAGGATAATTTGAAATGTATGGTTGTTGTCTTTGTGGATGGGAATGTTGACAATGGGAACGATTTATTTTGACTGAACTTCTCTCATCATGACGACGATGATATCGAATTAAAGAAGATGAACGACGTGTTGAATGATTCAATAATTGATCTGTATTCTGTCCTTTTATTCTTGATAATGTATCTGGTATACTATGAATTGTTTGATTTAATTTAATAGATGAATTCACATCTTTCAATGAATAATCATTACAATTAGATATTAAAGATGCAAATGAATTTATATTATTATCATTATCATTGTGATCATGTTCTTGATTAAAGTAGCCTATAATAGAAGAATATACACATTATATATATGAAAGGAAATGTGATTAGATTGTATACTTTTCAACCAATAAGATTCTAGATAGAAGCAAATTGTATAAAGTGTTAGTAGAAACATACTACTATTGTAGTATGATCTACTTATATCCATATAAGTAGTATATAGTGATGGTCAGACATAGAATGTATTTTAGCAGAAAACCGATAAGGAAAGAACTGAAATGAAACGCAATTGGTAGGAAAATGCATGAACAATGGAATTAGAGAAGATGGATTGATATTTACAGAAGTAACAGTGAAGATTGACACAATTGATGGTTATTTTGCAAATTAACTGTTTACTGTATGGTTATCAGAATTTAGTAAGTTAGTTTCTAATTTGTGCTTAAGTACATTCCATTGTCCCCAATCCGTGTTTTGTTCACTATACTAGTACTACTACTACTACTGCTACTACTACTACTACTACTACTAATAATAATAATAATAATAGGTTCAATACCATAATTTATTTTATTTATTTATTTAAACATATATATATTGGTACAAAGGGGCATTAGATACATATGCGCCAGACATTTTGTGTGAAAGCTATGATACTGTCCAGGTGCACAGACCGAAGCAGTTGGTTATCTTAAGGGGCCACACACGGAGCCTTTGACCTGAAGGTCTGATCCACAAGGCAGTGGAGCATTGTGAGGAGATGTAGTCCCATGGTAGCCGGTGACCAACAATTGATTCATACGCCATATTTTCCATCAGGATACTGGAGCCCATGTGCACCATTGATTTGGAATCAGGGTTTTCCAACTCCTCTAGGTGAACTTTCCATGTCCATTAACCCGGTTAATGCCTAGGACATTCGTTTTTCGTCCTCTCAATTTCGTAAACAATACCCTCGCCACGAGAAGGCGGGGGTAATGAATCTTCAATACCAACTGTGCAACTAATTTAAGATGAACTCAAACAGTAATTAATGTAAAAAAACACATGTTTTCAGTAGTCAGCTTCTGTTAGATACCTTCAATCATGTGTATTTTGTTTTATAGACTCAGCTGTTTCAATTATTAGGTTTAACTAATTACTTCCATGGATACAATTAAGAAGAAAATATGGATATAAACTTAATGTTCTCGTTTAAATTCTCTTCAGTATTCAAGATTAAATTAATTTTTTAACATTTTTATGATCACATGTGAGTACATACACTACTTATAATCATTCATTCTAAATAAATTAAAACTAGGAAGGGTAATTAAGATATTAGCGAAGCTAAAAAAAAATTAGATTACCTAAATACTTGAGCATGCCTCTAAAAAATATTTTTAGCTTGAACGAAAATTATTAGAAGAGGGTTTTGTGAACATTTCAGTTTTTTCATAGTTGAAATCATGAGTCAGTTGAAGCTAGACCATCATGGAAAACATGGAAGCACTGGAAGGCCGTTTTGTCCTATTATGGGACTCCTCAGCAGTACGCATCCATGACCCCGCCTCACTAGATTCGAATCCAGGACCTATCAGTCTCACATGCGAGCACTCAACCGATAGACCACTGAACCGGCATCCCACGGTGTTAATATCTAACTTTAACCAATCCACGAAATCTGAGCAACTGTTCACCAATGTTTTCAGTGAGTTGATATCTCTTAACAGACCTCGTTGAACTACACTGGTTACTGCTTTTCACTAGAACTCCAGTAAATACCTCATGGAGTCAGTCACTAGTGTGTATATTTTGATTAATATCAGAAGGATTTTTGTAGATATTATAGTAATTTCAATAGTTGAGGTCTTGAGTCGATTTCTATTTAACTTGAACTTATGGGTGGGTCAGTGAAAATATTACATTGAAATATTTTTTTAAGTGCTCATGCGTGAGACTGATAGGTCCTGGGTTCTAATCTCACGAGGCGGGATCGTGGATGTGCACTGCTGACAAGTCCTACAGTAGGACGAAACGGCCATCCAGTGCTTCCAGGTTTTCCATGATGATCTAAATTCAATTCACTAATGATTTCAACCACATACTATTGATTAACTCTGATAATTGATTTGAGATGATTTCTTTGAATACAGTAATTTTAATGTTTATATATAAACAGTTATTTATTGATATGTATATCTATATTGAAGATTTAACTATTTACATATTGCTGTTGTTGTTGTTGTTTAACTAGGCTTCTCTGTTGTTCAAATACTTTTTTTACTCGTTTTTCTTTCTCTTTTTTATACAGTAAACAAGATGGATATCACCTACTCACATACGTACCTACCTACCTGCCTACCTACCTACCTAACTACCTACATACATACATACATATGACATATATACATGAAACACATCATGCTATTTCATTTTTCTTTTTCTTTTTTCTCTTTTTTTTTTAAAAAAATTTCATTACCCCGACTTATTTTTCTTTTTTGTATGATTTATAAATGTTCTGATGAACAGACACATACAATTATTAAGAAGTAGTTTTTGTTTCAGTCAACTTTACGTTATACTTCAGGAACTTTTTGAGTACCTTCAAAGCGATGAGTTATTCACAACATCGTTCATCGTTTCAAGATCCCCATCATATTCAAAGACTAATATTTCGATGATAAACTCTCTTCAGTTTCCAAATTAATAAAACGAAAACATGGTCAAGTGAAAGGCAAAGTACATCGTTTAACGCATGTAAATTTAGGATTATCAGAAGGAGGTTTTGTGGAGATTTTAGTAATTTTATATAGTTGAGATCATGAGTTCAACACCACGTCTGTTGTGAGGTATCAACACACTGAAGACAATCGGTGAACGGTTGCTCAAATTCATGGATTAGTTGAAGTTAGACCTTAACACCATCGGATGCCGACCGGCTCAGTGGTCTATCGGTTAAGTGCTCTGGCGCGAGACTGATAAGTCCTGGGTTCGAATCTCGTGAGGCGGGATCGTGGGTGCGTACTGCTGAGGAGTCCCATAATAGGACGAAACGGCCATCCAGTGCTTCCAAGTTTTTCATGGTGGTCTAGCTTCAATTCACTCATTATCTCAACTATATAAAATTTAGGATTGTCAAACCAAATACAATAAAATTGTTAATGTCGATATGACTCTCATATAAAATGTTAACACTTGAGTCTGTATATATGTAAAGTGAAAATCTTAAGATCTGTGATCAGAATATAAATATGGATCAGATAAGATGATAGATATAATGTGTACTTTGCCTTTAACCTGGCCATTTGTTTCCGGATTATTAATTTGGATATATGTGAATTGTAGGATCTGAAGAGACAATTTATCATCGAAAAGAATATTCTTCGTTCAATATATTAGTCTATTAAGAAGTACTTCATAGTTTACACAATCTTAGGCATGAATAAGTTTCAAATTTGAAAGTATTAATATCATGGCCAAATATTAGCTAGTACAAAGGAGTCTGCTTGAATATCTGGCCTACCTGTTTCTACCATCTTTATTTATTTATTTATTCAAACACAAAAATATTGGTACAAAGGGGCACCAAATATATATGCACCACACAAATCTCATTTGATTTGTGTGAGGGCTGTGATACTGCCCGGGTGCCCAAATAGAAGCAGGTGGTTTCCTTAGGGAGCCGCATCCCAAGCCTTTGACATAAAGATCCGATCGACAAGGCAGTAGAGCATCGTAAGGAGATGCAGTCCCATGGTAGTTGGTAACCAACGATTGATTCATACGCCATTTGTTCCCTCAGGATACTGGAGCCCATGTGACCATTGTTTTGGAATCAGGGTTTCCCAACTCCCCTAGGTGAACTTTCTGTGTCTAACAATTCGGTTACAGCGCCAGACATTCGCTTTTCGTCCTCTCAATTTCGTAAACAACACCTTTGATGCGAGAAGGCAATGAGTAGGATTTCCCTGACAGAGGCTATATACGCGTGGCCATGTGAGAGCGTACTCTCACCACTCTCGGCCATACCAAAGCCTTTGGGGGCTTCTACCATCTAGATATTTCAACAAGTTATCTATATTTTGTTTGTTTCAATAGATCATTATATCAATTATTTGCATAATCTATTCAGATGAGTTTGGGAAAAGTACACGACCTTTTGCTGTACAAATTAAGAAAGAGAACAATCAAAGACATTGTGGTTGCTGACAATATACATTGTAAAGAATGTACGTTATTCAGATGTCGACTTATCGAACTGCTAACATCTAATTGGCGATCAGTCAATATTTATCGTAAGGATCAATCAAGAAATAAGAAAAGGAAACTTGTTGAAATACTTTGGGCTGAGAACTCTATTGTACCAATAATATAATATTGAAGAAAGCTATTAATTAGTCAGTCAGTCAGACACAACTTAGAACTTCGTACGTGCGTACATGAGTTCAAGTTGCCATACCACATTAACACACAGATACAGTTGTCGATACAAATCCGATAGTGGTAGAAGTAGTAAGAGTATAAACAGTAATCCAAAAGATTAGGGTTTGAAGATGTTATTCAAAGAGTATAATCCAGTGAAGTAAATTCGGAAAGAGAAAAAAGAAAGGGACATGAAGAATTCAGAAGATTAGAATTTGGCAGAATACAAAGAGTAGATGCAACTTCACCATTGCAAACGATTTTGAGCCATGTCATCCAAGGTCTCTAATCATTGATTGCTTTCATGTCGCGTATCCCAACCAGGTAGTCTACACCTACCAACATGGCCCAGTCCACTTGTGAGTGACTTCATGTATTCGTGCCACGTTTTGGTGTGGCCGCCCTTAGCTTTATCCAACCTACTCCTACCCCATTAAAGCTAATAATAATAATAAATAATTTTCTGGCTCTTATCAAGTGACAGATTTCTGAAATAACCTTGGGAGAATTTAAATTTGGTATAATAATGATCCTTAGAAAATTATATTATTCTTTAAGAGAGGTAAAAAGATAACTAACTCATTTATAAGGTACTTGAATATGAGTCACATTGTAGGCATGAAGGTTAACGATACTACCCGGTTGCCCAAATCA